AGGAAGCTCCGCATCTTCCCGGACATTGAGCCCCCAGGCCGTCCTGGTCCAGACCTTTTTGGGTCTCCCAGCTAGTTCTCTCCTGGGCAGGGTGAGGGTGCCGTCCTCCAGTGGGGGCAGTGGAGGTGTGTGAAGAGGGAAAAGGAGCATCGATGGGGAGTGTGAGTTGGAAAAGGGACATGAAGTGGCATTTATTCTTCTCACTCTGTCTGTACTCTACTGAGTGTGAGACTGAACTTGGGGCATTTCTTTTTTGAGTGTTTATTATCTCACTGCTGCTGGATATCTCTGGGGCCAGAGGGCAGGAAAGGGAATCTGGGGGATGTGACGAGAAAAGTGGGGGGTGCTAAGCAAAGATACAAGCAGGACTCAGGGGAGATGACGAGGAGGTTGAGGGAAGAACGGGAGAAAGGCACTTCCTCTCATCAATATCAATGGGAGAAAGGCTGTTGTCCCTCAGCCCTCATTTTTGTTTTCTCCTCACAGGCTCCACCGCGGATGGGCTGGTGAAAGCTGCCGTGGGCTTTCTGAAGTCATCGGTGGATCCTGCCATCTTTGCCCCCTGAGAATCCCGACCAGAAACACACGTGACTCCTTCATGCTCCTGTCCCCGCCTGAACCCTCAGTCTTCCAGAACGCGATCTTGTCTTGTATGCCTCTCCTGTCAGTTTCCTATAATAAAAGTCAACAATGCCCGCCCCACCTTTCCTCCAGGTTCCAGGTTCCCTCCGGATATGACATCCTTTCCCCAGCATGTGCCCTCAGCCAGGCATCAGGGCCCCAGACCTGTTCTCTTTCTGGAAGGAGTTCAGAGGCAGTGAGGTCCCTCCCGGGTTTTTCAGAGTGACGACATGAGAAACGAGGGGCGTGGACTCTAGGCTACAGGTTGCTGGGTTGATGTTAGGGATGGCCTGGATTGGAAAGTTCTCTGCATTATTTTTTGTCTAATCAGTATTGCTTTTGGGGACTTATGAGGACAAGACTGGTGAGCTATCCAGTTTTCTATTCTAAGGTAGAATAAAGAGATGGAGGGGCGGTTGACAGCCAACATTGGGATCCACATAACCTCCACCTGAGGTTCAAGGGTCCACTGTGAGGGTTGGCACTGTTGGGGACCTTCTTGGTTCATTATGCCTGAGTCTTGTTAGCCTATACTGCCCGCCTCCCCTTTCACTGCCCAAGGGTTGAGTGGTAGCTGTGGGAGACAGATGTTTCTTCTTAATCAGGACGCATCTTAGTAAGAGGGCCATCATGGGATCCTTCGTCCTGGCCTGACCCGTGAGGCCTCTGAAGCGGGCTCTGATCTTGTATACTTTTATAAAAAGCAGGGCTAAAGGCAGCTTTGCCTGAGACCCAAAACCTGGGCCACTCACCCCAAGAGGAAGAAAGGAGCTCCCAGTGATCATGTCTGACCTTGCAGTCCCACACACTCTATCCTAGTGGAAGGGACCCTATTGGATGTGTTGTTCCCTAACATACTGCTGTATCAATATTAAAATGACACTTGGTTGTATGTGATATAGATTTATTCATTGGATCTGCATGGGTTTTCTCATCCCTTGTTTTCCCTCCCAACTTTTTTTTTAAATATGTTTTTATTGATTTTTTGTTCTTTATGCCTGTGTTCCTCTCTTTCTCTCTATTCTTCTTCTCACAATAGTACCTTTAGCATTTCTTTCAGAGCTAGTTTGGCTAAACTCCTTTAGCCTTTTTTTTTTAATCTAGGAAGGTCTTTATTTGGAGATCTCTAAATATATCCCCATTTTGGCTTCTGTTCTAGGTAAAATGTCCTTATGTAGTAGATGTCTTGTGAAACTCAGTGATACAGTCTTTGTTATTATGTGAACCAGGTGCTCCAGAGATGTCCTTTGTGGGGGTTATATGAGTACTCTTGTTGTTAGTATGTCTTGATGGCTGCTGATTTATCAATGGGTGGGTTTGACCCTCAGGCTAGCTGACTGTGGAGAGATATAGATAGTTCCCACTTGACTGCACCCTTTCTGATGATCTCATTACTATTATCTTATAACTAGATGATGCATTAGTTTCACAAACTAATTGCTCCCTCAGAGCCACCAGTGAGTCCAAAGTAGGGCTTAAGGGGGGTTGAAAAAAACTTCCAAGGATGCAATCCAGGGAGAGTGAGTATGGGCAGGTCTCGATGGTGCAAACCCTAGGAGACTCAATTCTTTATAAGTAGGAGACCTGACACGCCTTTAGCTGGAGCACTCTGTGCTCTGTCGAGAAGCAGTAACTGACAGGTCTCATAACCACACTTTGGAAAATTTGACTGTGCTCTCAGGTAGACTGTGAGAATGTCCACACTGCTGCTCTTATATGACTACTAGAGGCCCAGTACACGAATTCGTGTACAGGTGGGGTCCCTCAGCCTGGCTGGTGATTGGGGCCGATGGGGAGGGGAGCCGGTAGCTTTGGGGTGGGACCGCGGAAGGATGGCCCCAGCAGCACGCTAACAAACGGCCGGTTCCATGAGTAATTGGGCTCCCTCCTCCCTCCTGTCTGGGTCCAGGGTGCAGGTGAACCAGATTCAGGACTGTCAGGGCCCAGCAACAAAGTCTGGATCAGTGCACATCATAGCTATGGGCAGGTCAGTCAGTTGTTCTGGTCATTCCGGTTGTTCGGTCATAACAGTTACTTAGGCATATATATATATATATATATACACACACATATATAATCTCCAGCCCCACACACAGGGTCCTTCCTGGTCCTTGCCAACTTCTTTTTCCTAGAATGGCCTTCTTATAGAATCATCCAGTATCAAGGTGTCTGATCATAGGCAAGGACCAAAGACCTTTGACAGCCTTCCCTGACCTGGGACAGATGCTCCACATTGAACAGAAATTTGCAGGGCTCAGAGATAGTGCTCATGTGGCTAGAACTAGTAGCAAGAAGGCTGTGGTCAGCAGCATTTCTCCTCCATAATGCCACTGTTTCTCTCTTTGCCATCTTGGCTTTTGCTTAGTTCTAGGGCGATAGGTGAGTTACTCATTTTGGCGTGGCCATTCTATTTAGATATGTGTTGAAGTGGCACCTGCCACAGGTTATGATTGGAATCCGCATGGTGAATGTGTCTCTTTAACTTCCAAGTTCCCACATTGGAGTTGATATTCAGATATAGTGTCAAAGGTAAGACATAAGCCCATTGTGTGATTTTAAAAACTAAATTAGATGTTAACTGGATGTGCTCTAATGTCAAGCATGAAAATGACCAGGAAGAAGTCAAATGGGATCCCTTTCCTACCTTGGTATGAAATGACGATGCCAACCCATCTAGAAGGGTATCCTTGCCTAACGATGGGACAGGCTGTCCTTAAAAAGACAGGCAAACAGAAGACAATGATCCTGGTGGTGAAGGGCATGGACAGTAGCATGAAATAGCTGTGCCATGGGCTTGATTTGTAAATGTAGGCAACTTGCTTACTTTTTCTAATTTTTCTTTCCTGATTTGTAGATGGCAATAGTAGTAATAGTTTCTTCTTACAGATTTATTTTTAAAAACGTGTCATATTTTTTAAAGTGTTAAGCCCAATCCTTGGTACACAGCAAATAGTCATTAAATGACATACATATCAATGCATGCACTTATGTAGCATTAGTATTAGTATTAGTATTGGTATTGGTATTGGTATTGGTATTGGTATCAGTATTGGTATTAGTATGTGTTGTCAGAGGAGGAGATCTCCATGCTGCCAGACCCTATGTCCTGCTCTTGACGTGCTGCATCTTCCTCAGTAGAGCTGTTCTTTGACCTTCTGCCTATGGGTCCCAGTATTTCTTTCTTCATCACAGGAACATGAATTAGGTGCCTTCCTTGCTGCTACTATTTCCTTTATGTAGTATTTCAGATTTGCCTCAAATGCTCTTAGAAAATGTTAAAAGGACATAGAAAAACCAGAGCAGCATCTCCTGATAAATTTGGAAATATTAAACATCCCACTTCTGGGAGGATATAATCTTGAAATGATATGATCCAAGTCTAATAAATAGTGTTGTTTAATAAGGCATTTTTTGAAAATCATTACACACTACCAACATTAAAGAAAAGCACGTAGAGGAATAACTTTTAAGATACATAAAAGAAAGAAAATCTTTTCATTCGGATTTCTTTTGCCAAATATTTTATAGACATTTCAGAAACTTTACTATTGTACAAGAGTGTTTTTGTTGTTCATGTTCTAGTTATGATCATTATGATTTTTATTTCATAGGTAATGCAACTACGTCAACAAGTACAGTGAAACCAGGGTTTAAATGAAGTGTTCTTATTTCTAATGCCATTTCTTTTCCTGATATTTTCCAGCAGGTATTAAAGAGTACGAGTTTGTTGCTTAGAGATATTGTGACAGTTTAAAATAGAAATATGCCTAAAGAGAGTAATTCTGTGAATTAAAGAACTGTAAAAAGGTTTCCCACTTCACAGGAGAATGTTTTGAATATACCTTTAAACACCTGACCTTGTCATCAAAGACAGTCACCTGCCTCCACATACACATCCCTTCCAGGGGTTGGATAGCCTGTGGCTCTAACATCAGCATCTCTTACTAACTCAAAGTTTTATACAGACATTGCCATTCCTAAGGGGGCTGGGTTCTGCTTGTTAAAAACACAGCCAAAGCTCTCCTCAGCAAACAGCTTGGTAATTTGCTATTGGTGTTCACACATTGGTGTCTCAAGTCCCTTTCCAAGGTCTGGCCAGAGCCATGAGGAATGCCTCGGTGGTGACCGAGTTCATCCTGCTGGGCATCCCACACACACAGGATCTGGAGACGGTGCTCTTTGTCCTGTTTTTGACCTTCTACGTCTTCACTCTTGTGGGAAACCTGCTCATCCTGCTGGCCATTGCCTCCTCCGCTCGACTGCACACTCCCATGTATTTCTTCTTGTGTGAGCTGTCTGTGTGTGACATATTTTTCCCTTCTGTGAGCTCCCCCAAGATGCTCTTCTACCTCTCAGGGTACAGCCGAGCCATCTCCTATGCGGGCTGCGTGTCCCAGCTCTTCTTTTACCATTTCCTGGGCTGCACCGAGTGCTTCCTGTACACGGTGATGGCCTATGACCGCTTTGTGGCCATCTGTCACCCTCTACGCTACCAGGTGATCATGAGCCCCAGGGTGTGTGCCATCCTGGCCTCGGGGACCTCGTTTTTTGGCTGTGTTCAGGCCACCTTTCTAACCACTCTCACCTTCCAGTTGCCCTACTGTGGCCCCAATGAGGTGGACTACTTCTTCTGTGACATCCCCGTGATGCTGAAGCTGGCTTGTGCGGACACCGCAGCCCTGGAGATGGTGGGGTTCATCAGTGTGGGCCTCATGCCCCTCAGCTGCTTCCTTCTCATCCTCGCCTCCTACAGCCGCATTGTCTACTCCATCCTGCAGATCCGCTCCGCCGAGGGCCAACGCCATGCCTTCTCCACCTGCAGCGCCCACCTCACTGCCATCCTACTTTTCTACATGCCAGTGGTCCTCATCTACTTAAGGCCAACGCCAAGCCCCTTGCTGGATGCAACGGTTCAGGTCCTGAATAACCTGGTCACCCCCATGCTGAACCCCTTGATCTACAGCCTCAGGAACAAGGAGGTAAAATCATCTCTGAGGAAAGTCCTGCATCAACTGGGCTTTCTTCCTGAGCACTTGTAGTGAAAGAACAGTAGCCAACAAGTGAAGTGCACTTACAACGTATACACTATTTTTACATGCTTCTCACAAATATCTTTTTAAATGGGAGAGTCCAGATATTAGGATTTGCCTCCATTGTACAACATGGGGACTAGAATTCAAAGAGTTCAAGTGGGTTAAATGTGAAGCATATGTAAGGAGTGATGGCAGAATGACTTCTACCTCTTGGCTGGTTTTCTGAGTCCGGAGCCTGTGCCTTCTCGAGGACATCATATTGCTGATGAGGTAGAAAGGAGCCTGCCATAGCAGGCAGAATAACCTGCACCTTCTGATTCTCAATCTTTATTTTCTTTGTCCACCTGCACCCCTTTTCCTCTTCTTTGTCCTCCTCACCCTGACACTCTATCTTGGCTGCGTTATTGTCTCCTCAAATGCCTGACCTGAATAAATCCTCATTTTATTGGTCTACATATTTTTGGGAAAAATATGGAGTTGTGGAAAGAGAATGACTTGTAGCAGGGACCTGAGGCAAGTTCCTTCTGAGTGAAGCAAAGGTACTGGTGACTGCTGTCACCCAGAAACTCTATCTGTTGGGTTTTGACCTGGAAGCAAGCCCCGGCTGTATCAAGTTTATTTACTGAGAGCTGCAGCATGGCAATGAGAAGGTGGGAAGGGCAGGTGGGGAAATTCGTGGGATGGTGACTGTGATCTGATGCCACATTAGAAAATCTGGACTTGGCTTTGTGTTTCTCAGTACAACCAGGGGGCCATTCTGGGTTCAAGCTGTCATTGTTTGTGTCTTTGGTTTCAGTTTCAGTGAAAAGGTGTGACATTGTTCCCCATTCCTTTCTTTCGCTCTCCCTCTCTCTCTCTCTCTCTCTCTCTCTCTCGGCTGAAATATTCTAAGAAGAACAATAATGGGCTGTTTCAATGAAGTGCACTATTGTGTTTATGACTGGAATTCATTGAGAATCCTAGCACACTTGAGGCATGTGGAATAAACTATTGCAATTTATTCTAATACAGTGGGGCCTTGACTTACGAGTGTCCTGACTAACGAGTTTTTCGAGATATGAGCCGTCTCTCGGCCGATTTTTTGCTTTGAGTTGCGAGCTAAAATTCGGGTCACGAGCCAGCTTCAGATACCCCACTGCTAGTTGGTGCAGCGAACGTCACCGTGAATGCCACAACATCAGCCCAGCATCATGTGTCTCACTCATTCACTTTTTGATTTGACATACGAGTAATTGGAGTTACGAGCTCCGTCACGGAATAAATTAAACTCGTAAGTCAAGGCCCCACTGTAGTGAAGTCTAGAGATAAGGAAACTGAGGAGAGGATGATGGGAAAGGAAGGGACAGGGGTGGAGACCAGTTTGTCTGTCCTTCTCAGAATCAGAGAGCAACCCAGGAGCCTGCTGTGTCTGTGCCTCCAGCCAGTGTGGAGAGCCAGCAAATGCTCCTGCAGGGGAGACATTGACCTAACATAACAAGACTCCCTCCTGCCCCTTGGCCTACATGCCTCCAAGCCTTCTCTGCCTGATTCTCCTTGTTTCTCAGGAAACAAGAGCTTGAAGAAGGAGGTGGCAATGCATCTCCAATTATTTCACATGTCGTCGATCCCTGCTGGAGCCTAAGTCCACTTGAAGATCTCTTCCCATTCCTTAATTTCCTGGTGGGAGCTGCTCAGATGGTCCAAATAGAACAGTTTTTTAAGAATAAAAGATGCGATCCAATTCCTTTTCATTTTCACTCAGACAGAGGTCATTTGGTGAATAACTTTGTGCTATGGGTGGGGAATGCAAAGATGAAGAAGAGCTGATCCTACCAGAGTGAGTCATAGTCTGCCAGAGGAAAGACACAAATGTGCAGCTGACATCCCATGATAAAGATGTGAAATATGGCAGGAAATACAGAGCATATTTTTCTGGGGCTGTGGAGGGACCTCACAAAAGAGGTGTTGAGGGTTGAAGGCTTTTGTTTGTTCTGTCTTCCCCCCATATACATACCCGATAAAGAATGGCTTTTAGAGGGAGAAATGTTTTATAGGGAGAAGCATCTCAAACTTTTGTTTGTTGTGTTGGTGGGAATGAGACATAATTCCTTGAGTGGGTATCTCAACTATTTACCATCTGTGAGTGAACATTCTTGTAAGAATAATTAAGTTAATTTCACCTGGCTCTGGCTGGTTTGGCTCGGTGGATAGAGTATCGGCCTGTGGACTGAAGGGTCCTAGGTTTGATTCAGGTCAAGGACACAGGCCTGGGTTGTGTTCTCGATCCCAGCAAGGGGGTTGTGCAGGAGGCAACCAATCAATGAATCTCTCTCATCACTGATGTTTCTATCTCTCTCTCCTCCCTTCCTCTCTGAAATCAATAAAAATAAATTTAAAAAAATTTTTTAATGTGTGCATAAAGTTTTTGGATTTTAATGGCTACCATTGTAACGACTATGGTCATATACTGGCACATGATCTATTTTTAATAAGGTTTAATTGAATTATCATCATGAAATTAAATTATCCTCTTGTTATGTTAGGTCAATGTCATTGAAAACTTTTACAGTATAGATGAAATTATAAAATTTCAGAATTATAAGTTAGAATATTCTTAATTACATACCTGAAGGATGATTCTCTTTACACCTTCCAGTGGCCAAGAGCTACCTACCTCACAAGGTTGCTTATTTCACTGATGTACATTTAGATGTGCATCTAATAAACACTTTCTATCTACATTGAAAATAAATGTGTTACTACCAGATCTCCCCACAATTCCCAAGTCTCCACATAGAATAGTGCTTTTCCAGTTTCCACCAGCCCCTCAGGCATTTGAAGACCATAATCTATCTCCGCTGCTCTTTGACTATGAACCCAAATCTCTGGGAATTGATAAGATATTGCCTAAAAGCAATATGACTTTGAAAATAAAGAGTCAGTCGCTTTCTAGTTATGTCATAATGAAGTTATTTATTCTGTTTTTCAGTTTCTTTGTAGAATAATACCACCTACTTTATAAAGTTTATTTTGGAGATTCAATGTAACAACTACTTTTAAAATTTAGCATAATACTTAGCACATGATAAGTGCTGAGAATAAATAATTAACTGAATATGGGCTATTTTGTCCATAATTTTCCTTTTGAGATAATTTACACCCCCTTTCGCCTATGAATGTGCCCAGTATGTGCCTATTTCTCTTTTAAAATGTCTTAAAGCACACATAATAGTTGACGAGTGATGAGTAGCTATTCACTAATTAGATTTCTGTCTTGAATAGTGATACTTATGAGAGGTAAGTGTAGAGTCATCTGGATATATACATGATTCCCAGACTGATGAGACACATGACATCACAAGCAAAGGCTTGAAGGTATGAAAGAAAACACACAAAAAAGGGGGTAGCACTACAGGTGATCAAAGGTTAGCATTGGCGCTCCTTCTACCATGCAAACTATCTTGGAGAGATAGAGATATTGCCCACTTGACTGCACCTTTTCTGATGATCTCATTACTATTATCTTATAACTAGATGATGCATTAGTTTCACAAACTAATTGCTCCCTCAGAGCCATCATTGAGTCCAAAATAGGGCTTAAGTGGGGTCTGAAAAAACTTCCAAGGAAGCAATCCAGGGAGAGTATGTGCAGGTCTTGATGGTGCAAACCCTAGGAGACTCGATTCTTTATAAGTAGGAGACCTGACACGCCTTTCGCTGGAGCACTCTGTGCTCTGCCGAGAAACAGTAACTGTCAGGTCTCATGACCACACTACGAAAAACTTGACTGTGCTCTCAGGTAGATGGTGAGAGTGTCCACACTGCTGCTCTTACATGACTATGAGCTCCAGCTCCACACACAGGGTCCTTCCTGGTCCTTGCAGACTTCTTTTTCCTAGAATGGCCTTCTTATAGCATCATCCAGTGTCAAGATGTCTGATCATAGGCCTCGGACAGCCTTTGCTGATCTAGAACTGATGATCCGGATTGAACAGAAATTTGCACGGCTAAGAGATAGTGCTCATGTGGCTAGAACTAGTAACTAGAAGGCCGTGGTCAGCAGCATTTCTCCTCCATAATGCCACTGTTTCTCTCTTTGCCATCTTGGCTTTTGCTTAGTTCTAGGGCGATAGGTGAGTTACTCATTTTGGCGTGGCCATTCTATTTAGATATGTGTTGAAGTGGCACCTGCCACAGGTTATGATTGGAATCCGCATGGGGAATGTGTCTCTTTAACTTCCAAGTTCCCACATTGGGATTGATATTCAGGTATAGTGTCAAAGGTAAGACATAAGCTCGTTCTGTGATTTTAAAAACTAAATTAGATGTTAACTGGATGTGCTCTAATGTCAAGCATGAAAATGACCAGGAAGAAGTCAAATGGGATCCCTTTCCTACATAGTATGAAATGACAATGCCAACCCATCTAGAAGGGTTTCCTTGCCTAACCATGGGACAGGCTGTCCTTAAAAAGATAGGCAAACAGAAGACAGTGTTCCTGGTGGTGAAGGGCATGGACAATAGCATGAACAAGATTTGTCTTAGCTGTGCCATGGGCTTGCTTTGTCAATGTAGGCAACTTGCTTACTTTTTGTAGGTTTTGTTTCCTGATTGGTAGATGGCAATAGTAGTAATAGTTTCTTCTTACAGGTTTATTTTTAAAACGTGTCATATTTTTAAAGTGTTAAGCCCAGTCCTTGGTATACAGTAAATAGTCATTAAATGACATACATATCAATGCATGCACCTATGTAGCATTAGTATTAGTATTGGTATTGGTATTGGTATTGGTATTGGTATTGGTATGGGTATTGGTATCAGTATTGGTATTAGTAGGTGTTGTCAGAGGAGAAGATCTCTGTGCTGCCAGACCCTATGTCCTGCTCTTGACGTGCTGAATCTTCCTCAGTAGAGCTGTTCTTTGACCTTCTGCCTATGGGTCCCAGTATTTCTTTCTTCATCACAGGAACATGAATTCAGTGCCTTCCTTGCTGCTACTATTTCTTTTACGTAGCATTTCAAATTTGCCTCAAATGCTCTTAGAAAATGTTAAAAGGACCAGAAAAACCAGAGCAGCATCTCCTGATAGATTTGGAAACATTAAATCTCCCAGTTCCGGGAGGATATAATCTGGAAATAATATGATCTAAGGTTATTCAATAGTGTTGTTTAATAAGCTCCTATTTGCAAATAATTATACACTACCAACATTAAAGAAAAGCACGTAAAGAAATAACTTTTAAGATAAAAGAAAGGAAATGTTTTCTTTTTTGCCAAATATTTTCACAGACATTTTAAAACTTTATTATTGTGCTAGGGTATTTTGGTTGTTTTATGATCATTATGATTTTTATTTTATAGGTAATAGAACTATGTCTCTAAAAATATTGTATGAATTATTTAAAGGAGTACAGCTAATAAGTGACAAAACCAGGGTTGAAATGAAGTGTTCTGATTTCTAATGCCATTTCTTTTCCTGATATTTTTCAGCGGGTATTAAGGAGTACGAGTTTGTTGCTCAGAGATATTGTGACAGTTCCAAATAGAAATATGCCTAAAGTGAGTAAATCCATGAATTAAAGAACTGTAAAAAGGTTTCCCACTTCACAGGAGAATGTTTTGAATATACTTTAACTCCTGGCCTTGTCATCCAGACAGCCACCTGCCTCCACATACACATTCGTTCCAGGGGTGGGATAGCCTGTGGCTCTAACCTAAGCATCTCTTACTAACTCAAAGTTTTATACAGACATTGCCATTCCTAAGGGGGCTGGGTTCTGCTTGTTAAAAACACAGCCAAAGCTCTCCTCAGCAAACAGCTTGATAATATGCTATTGGTGTTCACACATTGGTGTCTCGAGTCCCTTTCCAAGGCCTGACCTGAGCCCAGCCATGAGGAATGCCTCGGTGGTGACCGAGTTCATCCTGCTGGGCATCCCACACACACAGGATCTGGAGACGGTGCTCTTTGTCCTGTTTTTGACCTTCTACGTCTTCACTCTTGTGGGAAACCTGCTCATCCTGCTGGCCATTGCCTCCTCCGCTCGACTGCACACTCCCATGTATTTCTTCTTGTGTGAGCTGTCTGTGTGTGACATATTTTTCCCTTCTGTGAGCTCCCCCAAGATGCTCTTCTACCTCTCAGGGTACAGCCGAGCCATCTCCTATGCGGGCTGCGTGTCCCAGCTCTTCTTTTACCATTTCCTGGGCTGCACCGAGTGCTTCCTGTACACGGTGATGGCCTATGACCGCTTTGTGGCCATCTGTCACCCTCTACGCTACCAGGTGATCATGAGCCCCAGGGTGTGTGCCATCCTGGCCTCGGGGACCTCGTTTTTTGGCTGTGTTCAGGCCACCTTTCTAACCACTCTCACCTTCCAGTTGCCCTACTGTGGCCCCAATGAGGTGGACTACTTCTTCTGTGACATCCCCGTGATGCTGAAGCTGGCTTGTGCGGACACCGCAGCCCTGGAGATGGTGGGGTTCATCAGTGTGGGCCTCATGCCCCTCAGCTGCTTCCTTCTCATCCTCGCCTCCTACAGCCGCATTGTCTACTCCATCCTGCAGATCCGCTCCGCCGAGGGCCAACGCCATGCCTTCTCCACCTGCAGCGCCCACCTCACTGCCATCCTACTTTTCTACATGCCAGTGGTCCTCATCTACTTAAGGCCAACGCCAAGCCCCTTGCTGGATGCAACGGTTCAGGTCCTGAATAACCTGGTCACCCCCATGCTGAACCCCTTGATCTACAGCCTCAGGAACAAGGAGGTAAAATCATCTCTGAGGAAAGTCCTGCATCAACTGGGCTTTCTTCCTGAGCACTTGTAGTGAAAGAACAGTAGCCAAAAAGTGAAGTGCACTTACAAGTTATAAACTATTTTTATATGCTTCTCACAAATACCTTTTTAAATGGGAATGTCCAGATATTAGGATTTGCCTCCATTTTCCAATGTGGGAACTAGGATTCAAAGAGTTCAAGTGGGTTGAACGTGAAGCATATGTAAGGGTGATGGCAGAATGAAGCCCCAAGAGCTGGTTTTCTGAGTCCGGGGCCTGTGCTTTCTCGAGGACATCATATTGCTGATGAGGTGGAAAGGAGCCTGCCACAGCAGGCAGAATAACCTGCACCTTCTGCTTCTCAATCTTTATTTCCTTATCCACCTACACCCCTTTGTCCTCTTCTTTGTCCTCCTCACCCTGACACTCTATCTTGGCTGCATTATTGTCTCCTCAAATGCCTGAACTGAATAAACCCTGATTGTATTGGTCTACACATTGTTGGGAAAAAATGGAGTTGTGGAAAGAGAATGACTTGTAGCAGGGACCTGAGGCAAGTTCCTTCTGAGTGAAGCAAAGGTACTGGTGACTGCTGTCACCCAGAAACTCTATCTGTTGGGTTTTGACCTGGAAGCAGGCCCCGGCTGTATCAAGTTTATTTACGGAGAGGTGCAGCATGGCAATGAGAATGTGTGAAAGGCAGGTGGGGAAATTCGTGGAGCAGTGACTCGGGTCTGATGCCACATTATCTGGACTTGGCTTTGCATTTCTCAGTACAACCAGGGAATCATTCTGGGTTCAAGTTGTCATTGTTTGTGTCTTTGGTTCAGTTTCATTGAAAAGGTGTGACATTGTTCCCCATTCCTCTCTCTCTCTCTCTCTCTCTCTCTCTCTCTCTCTCTCTCTCTCTTTGTCTCTTTTCTTTTGGCTGAAATAAGCTAAGAAGAACAATAATGGGCTGTTTCAATGCAGTGCGCTATTGTGTTTATGACTGGAATTCATTGAGAATCCTAGCACACTTGAGGCATGTGGAATAAACTATTGCAATTTATTCTCATAGTGAAGTTGAGAGGGAAGGAAACTGAGAAGAGGATGATGGGAAAGGAAGGGACAGGGGTGGAGACCAGTTTGTCTGTCTTTCTCAGAATCAGAGAGCAACCCAGGAGCCTGCCAGGCCTACCAGCGCTGCTGTGTCTGTGCCTCCAGCCAGTGTGGTGAGCCAGCCCATGCTCCTGCAGGGGAGACAGACTCCCTCCTGCCCTTTGGCCTACATGCCTCCAAGCCTTCTCAGCGCTGATTCTCCTTGTTTCTCAGGAAACAAGAGCTTGAAGAAGGAGGTGGCAATGCATCTCCAATTATTTCACATGTCGTCGATCCCTGCTGGAGCCTAAGTCCACTTGAAGATCTCTTCCCATTCCTTAATTTCCTGGTGGGAGCTGCTCAGATGGTCCAAATAGAACAGTTTTTTAAGAATAAAAGATGCGATCCAATTCCTTTTCATTTTCACTCAGACAGAGGTCATTTGGTGAATAACTTTGTGCTATGGGTGGGGAATGCAAAGATGAAGAAGAGCTGATCCTACCAGAGTGAGTCATAGTCTGCCAGAGGAAAGACACAAATGTGCAGCTGACATCCCATGATAAAGATGTGAAATATGGCAGGAAATATGGAGCATATTTTTCTGGGGCTGTGGAGGGAGCTCACAAAAGAGGTGTTGAGGGTTAAATGCTTTTGTTTGTTCTGTCTCCCCACACACACGTACCCCATGAAGAATGGCTTTTAGAGGGAGAAATGTTTTATAGGGAGAAGCATCTCAAACTTTTGTTTGTTGTGTTGGTGGGAATGAGACATAATTCCTTGAGTGGGTATCTCAACTATGTGCCATCTGTGAGTGAACATTCTTGTAAGAAAAATAAAATTAATTTGACCTGGCTCTCGTTAGTTTGGCTCAGTGGACAGAGTGTCAGCCTGCGTACTGAAGGGTCCCGTTTTCAATTCTGGTCAAGAGCACATGCCTGGGTTATGGGCTGGACCCCAGTGGGGGGCGTGCAGGGGCAACCAATCAATGAATCTCTCTCATCATTGATGTTTCTATCTTTCGCTCCTTCTCCCTTCCGCTCTGAAATCAATAAAAATCTAATTTTTAAATTAATTGGAACTGTTTTCAGAGTTCTTCCTTCCGCGTGGCAGTGTGTCCCTGAATTGGAGATATGCCTTGCACAAAATGACTCTATCTCTGTCTCCTTAAACAAATTGACTCCTCTGCTCATTTGGGGTTTTCTGAGAGATGTGGGGAGCATTCCTGTCTTCAGGTAGTGTCTGAGTTCCCTTTCTGCCTAAGTTGGAGCCCCGATTGTCAGGTGTAGCCTTGGGTTTGGACGCCTCAGTGGGGTTTAATGGTGGAAGGAAACTTTTCTGTGTTGTGGACATAAAGGGACAATATCAGAAAAATTGGGGGGAGAAAAATCAATGGGCATAATCCCAAACCAGGTAGATCATCTAGCACAGGGGTCCTCAAACTTTTTAAACAGGGGGCCAGTTCACTGTCCCTCAGACCGTTGGAGGGCTGGACTATAGTTAAAAAAAAAAACTATGGACAAATTCCTATGCACACTGCACATATCTTATTTTGAAGTAAAAAAACAAAACGGGAACAAATACAGTATTTGTATTTGCATGTGGCCCGCGGGCCGTAGTTTGAGGACCCCTGATCTAGCAGCATGTTTAATCCACAGGCCTTAACATAGACAGGGGCTCAAGGCCCAAGCCTGGGTTGGGAGGTGACAGAGACGTGCAAACATATTGAAGCTGAGATTCAGAGTATGTTCTGAGCAGAATGGGCTAGAGCGGCAGCATTACCCGAGACACTGGATTCAAACCTGGTCTCAGAGTCCCTCTGCATAGGACACCTGACCCTGGGCAGAGTCTAGGTTCCTCAAAAGGCTTCTCTGTTCACTCCAACGCCTTCTGCAACATACCCTTGTAGTGTCTGGTCCCTGTCTTTCTGCCCCTCCCTGTATTTGTTACATAACCAATGCCTGTTCTGAATGTCACCTCTGCATTTTGTTTTACCTACAGCCCCCAGAGAGAGAAAGTATGATGTGGGCATCTCAGGTGGAAACCTGTGGCCTGGACACAGGAAGTGTAGCTGAGATAAAGGCCCCCCACACGGCATTGAGGGAGTGTGAATGGGAGTTTTCAAAGGAGTGTTCACCGTAGACGCCATTTCTGTTTATTCCTTGCGCTCCCTGGCACACTGCTGATTTGTTCTAAATCAAATTAATTGAAATGAATGGGCACACTAGTCAGCATTAATGTTTTTAGTTGCTTGGTTTGCGATTTTTTGTTCGAGAATATGGACTTGGCCTTTCCCCAAAAAAGAATTATTCAAAGCTAAGAGAATGACTCAGCAACCCCTCTTCTGAGTATCTATCTGAAAACATTTATTCACAAAGTTAAATGCACCCCTATGTTCACTGCAGCATTTTTAACTGGTATGCGGATTAACTATTAACCAGTTAAAAATTCGGATTTTTTAATCAAAGAAAACATGATTATTTCAAGGGAAACATCAAAAGTGCTTTATTCAAAGTAATGTCCATCGCTAGATACACATTTCTCCCACCTTTCAGGTAACTTGTGGATACCGTCCCAATAGAACTTTTCTTGTCGTGAGGCAGACCATTCAGAAACCCAGTTTTCCACTTCTTCGTACGTTTTGAAGTGCTGCTCAGAAAGTGCGTGTGCCATCGATCGGAACAAGTGGTCATCTGAAGGAGTAAGGTCTGGTGAATACAGGGGGTGGGTTAATACTTCCCAGGCAAGATCTTTTAACGTGTCTTTAACTGGTTTTGAAGTGTGTGATGGTGCGTCATCATGAAGCAAAATTACTTTGCC